ATTCCCTGCTGGATTTGGGATTTTTTTTCCCTCCATTTTCTCGTTGGTGCTGCCATTCCTTCTGCTGGGAATGGAGAGATTTCAAGCAGGAGCAGCTTCATCCCAAACCAGCAGCTCATTCCTCACAGGAATGTCATGATCCCGTGATGGATGAAGGATTCCCAAGCACAACTTGGGAAGTGTCCAAGGCCAGGATGGAAAAACCATGGCAGGATGGTCCTTAAGGTCCCTTCCATCCCAAACCCCTCTGGAATTCTCTGCTGCTCTCAAGGAATGGTTTTAGGGCAGGACGATGCTGCCAAGCTGGGCTGGGCTGGGCTGAGCTCCTTTGGAAAAACCCTTGGAAAACAGATGGGAACAAAATGGTGTTGGCAGCAGAGAGAGGTTTAAGGATATCACATCCCAAATTTTGGCAGCCCGGGGAGGTGACCGGAGCAGGGACAGCTGCCAGGATTTGAGGGCAAGGCAGGGAAAATCACAACAGGAATCTTGGGAATTGGGATTTTGGGAATTGGGGTTTTGGGAATTGGGGTTTTGGGAATTCTTCAGAAGTGCTGGGGCAGAACCCCAACCCCCATCCTCTGCCAAGGCCTGGGGGTTAATTAATGCCACAACAAACCCTCATTAAGAGGCTTAATTAATATTATTTCATTTTCAGAGAGGAGGCAGCTGTTCCCTGCTTCCCATAGAGGGAGGGTTGTGCAGGAATTGTCCTGCAGGGATACCTGGGATGGGATCTGGGGTCAGGTTTGGGTGCAGAGGGAGGGGATCCAACATTCCAGCCACGTCCCCAAGGATTTTCCAAGCCCTCATCCCATCAGCAGCATCCCTGTCAGTGGGCTCCATGGAAGGATGGATGTGGGAAGGTTGGATTTGATGATTCTGGAGATCTTTTCCTACCATCACAATTCCATGGTGCTTTCCATCCCTGCTTTCTGCCTGGGTGCCACCCCTGTGTGTGACACCTCTGTCCCCTCCTGTCACTGCCGGGCCAATCCTGCTCTTCCCCACCTTTAATTTGGGCTCTCAGGATTTTCCAGCCTCATTCCCGCAGCCAATTCCATGGAAATGGATGGAAGTGAATTCCCTGTGACTCCTCGTTCCCTCCTCTCACCCTGCACGAATCTTGGAGCTATTTTGGGCAGAGCATCCAAAATTTGCCCTTTTTTCTTGGAGAAGCTTCCTGAACTTTGGGCATCCTCCTTGTGGACCTGGGAGCACCTTCCTGGTGTTTTGATGGAGTTTGGGATTAATTTATCCCAGATCCTACAACATTCCAGCAGAACAAAACACTTTAAAAACAAAACCCTTTCTTTAGGAGGCAAAAAAATTAAACCCATCAAACAATAATCTAAGAATAAAAATCAGGAATTTTATGGCACCCTCAATAACGAACTCTGTCCTCAGAAGCTCATTTACGTATTTAAGCCCTTGTTTAATATTCTAATTAGCAGTTAATCAGCTATCGAGAGAGAACAAACGGTGATTAGCTCATCTTCACCTCCTCCAGGTGATTTGGGCTCATCAGCTTCGCGAAACTTTCCTGATATTCCTGAATTATTCATGGCCACGGGAATGTCCCGGGGTGGGATTTCAGGTGCATAACCGAGGGGGACATGGTGCCTTTTGGGGAAAAGGATGCTTTGGATGGGATTTGGGGGAAAAATTCCTCGCTGGGAGGGTGGGAAGGGGCTGGGATGGATATTTCAGGGGAGCTGTGGTTGCCACATTCCTGGAAGTGTCCAAGGCCAGGTTGGAACAACTTGGGATAGTGGGAGGTGTCCCTGCCCATTTAATTTAATTATTCCAGGCTATCATTTATCCCAATTCTTCCTCTTTTCCCATAGCTTTCCAAGGAGCTGGGAAACAAAAGAAAGCTCCCGCTGGAGGTCTGGAGGAGGAACTGGTGCAATCCCAAATGATCCTCAATTCCCTTTCCCTTCTTCTCTTTTTCCTTTCCCATCCCACCAAAGACGGGCAGGACGCTGCTCTCCTCCTCCTCTATTCCCAGGGAGCAGATTCTCAAAACTCTTGGAATTAATTTGGAAAGATTCCACCTGGTTTTGCCTGGAAAAGAAGCCCTGCCTGGCCAGGCTTTGGATCTTGAGGTTTGGCTGTCTGGGAGCAGGGATCAGCTGAGGTGACAAGGACTGGGCTGGCTCCCAGGAGAATCCATGAGGCACGAGCAGGTGGGAGAGAGAGAGGCAGGAGCTCCAGACAGCTGCTTCCCGGAATTTTAATTAATTCCCGAGCTTTTTAGCCTTCCCAGACGCCGGCTTTGCCAGGCTCCGGATTCCTGCCGCCTGCCAGGATGGATCAGGAAGGTCAGAGCTGCTCCTTGCCAAGCAGAGCTCCCTCACTGCTGCCCTCAGCGATTTCGGGGAAGCTCTGCTGCCTCTGGAAGGTGCAGGATCAGCTGGAGCAGCGTCCCTGGATGTGCTGGAGCTCACCCATCCCATCCCAGGCTGTGCTGTGTGGGACTGAGGAGCTCCCAAGGATTCCTGGAAACTCCTGGATGCCCAGGATGCTCCACAGGCACAGCAGAGCTTTTCCTGCTCTGTCCTGGGAAGTGGCTTTTCCCTGCTCAGCCCTGATCCCACCTGGAAGTCGCTTTTTCCTGCTCCAGGACCAAAACCCAGCCCCTGATCCTACCTGGAAGTGGCTTTTCCCTGTTCCAGGACCAAAACTCAGCCCTGTTCCCACCTGGAAGTGTCTTTTCCCTGCTCAGGCCCTGATCCCTCCTGAAGTGGTTTTTTCCCTGCTCCGGGACCAAAACCCAGCCCGAATCCCACCTGGAAGTGGCTTTTCCCTGTTCCAAGACAAAAATTCAGCCCGTGATCCTTCCTGGAAGTGACTTTTCCCAGTCCCAGGACCAAAACTTGGCCCTGATCCCTCCTTAAGTGGCTTTTTCCTGCTCCAGGAACCGAATTCAGCCCTGATCCCACTGGAAGTTGCTCTTCCCTGCTCCAGGACCCAAATTCAGCCCCTGATCCCACCTGGAAGTGACTTTTCCCTGCTCCAGGACCAAAACCCAGCCCCTGATCCTTCCTGGAAGTGGCTTTTTCCTGCTCCAGAACATAAACTCAGCCCTGATCCCACCTGGAAGTGGTTTTCCCTGCTCCAGGACCAAAATCCAGCTCCCAGCCCCTTCCATCCCTTCCATGTCCGTCCCAAAAGCGGGAAGGGGTCAAAGGAAGGGAATTCCCCCTTTTCCCCCCTCAGCCCGGTGCCGGGGGATGCTCCAGCCCCTTCCTGAAGGAAATCCGCGTTTTTCGGGAATATCCCAGGCTGGAAGAGCCAATTCCACGGGTTGGCAGCTCCCTCTCGTGGGGAGAAAAGGCAGGAAGAGCTGGGATGTGGCCCAGATGTGTGGCACAGCTGGAGCGGGATTTCTCAGAGGGGTCGGAAAATGGGAATTTTTTTCCAATGGGAATAAAGACACTTTATAGAACTTTTGAGACTTTAAACTTAGGGCTGTCTAATTAGACAGAGACTAAAAAGCCTAACCTAAATAATTCACTAGATAAAGAAGAGAACAAAGAAAAAAATTGCTTTTATGGAGTGTTTTAGTAAGACTAAAAACCTCTTACCCCAACTCAGTTTTTCTCTGAAAAAGCTTTGTTATTTTACCTTTTATTTAAACTTTTCTGTTTCCAATACTACCTCAGAAGCCATCCTGTTATTTTATGTCAACTTCTACCCTCAAAATTTTGCACCGCACCACGGCCTTGCTTAAATCCAAAGAAATCCACAAATCATTCCACTTATTAAGAATCCAGCTCGGTTTTATTGTCCATTTTTCCAAAAGTTAGTGTTATCCTCATCACAATTATAAAATATCCCTATTTTACAAAGATTTACAGCTCTGGGAGTGACCAAGTTGGAGCTGGGAATTCTCTTAAATAATCAAACCATGATTTTGGTTTTGGGGGTGGGGCTTGAAAAATTCCAATTTAAAAAAGAAAAGGGAAGGCTAAAAAGGGAATTTTTATCAGCTCCTTCAAACATCACAGGGAATTATAAAATTTATTCCTTTTTTTTTTTTGGCGGTGGGGGGAAAGGCTGCAGGGAGCAGATTTGAAACCCCATGGATGGAAACAGGATTAGAGGCCCTGATTCTGGTTCACATAAAGATCTCTTTACAGATTCTGGCAGCACAGAGGAACCCTAAAGTATATTTAAGTAAAATGTATGCTGCCAAAACTCTGTAAAAAAAAAAAAAAAAAAACAGGTCCCAAAATTAACATTTTAGGGCCGTGTTTTCCCTGCGTCCACCCTCACCACAGGAACCAGGAAAGCGCGGCCGCTTCTCCTGGGAAAGCGCGGAAGCTTCTCTCCATGAACTAAAATTTATGCCCACTCTAAGATTTTTTTTATGCTGCCAGACCTCTGTAAAAGAAAATTAGGTCCCAAATTTGGGGTTATTCCCAAAATTAACATTTTAGGGCTGTGTTTTCCCTCTGTCCACCCTCACGCCAGAACCGGGAATGCGAGGCCACTTCTCGCAGTGTTCTGGTCACTTTTGGAAGGGATTTTCATGAGGGAATTACTCAGAATGAGGGGCAGCACAGAGGAACCCTAAAGTATAGTTAAATAGAATTTATGCTGCCAGAACTGAGTAAAACAAATCAAGTCCCAAAATTAACAGTTTAAGACTGTGTTTTCTCTGCTGTCCACCCTCATACCAGAACCGGGAAAGTGCGGCAGCTTCTCCTTGTGGGATTGCAGTGTTGTGGTCACTTTGGGAAGGGATTTTCCTTAGGAAATTGCTCAGAACGGAGCAACCCTAAAGCGTATTTAAATAAAATTTATACCCACTCTAAGATTTTTTTATGCTGCCAGAACTGTGTAAAAGAAAATCAGGTCCCAAAATTAACAATTTAAGGCTGCGTTTTCCCCCGCCTCCACCCTCACACCAGAAGCGGGAAAGCGCGGAAACTTCTCCCTGTGGGAGTGCAGTGTTGTGGTCACTTTGGGAAGGGATTTTCACGGGGAATCGCTCAGAACGAGGGGCCCTTGACGCTGCCCGGCTCCGGGAGGCGGGCGGCCGCGTAGGCCGAGGCTGCCAGGCAGGCGGCGGGCTCGCAGAAGCCGGGCAGGCCCGCGGGCCCCGGCAGCCCCGGCCGGCCCGCCTCGCCCGGGGAGCCCGGCAGGCCCCGCTCGCCCGCCTTGCCGTCCACAGCGTGGCCGGGGATGCCCGGGAGACCTGGAAAGGCAACGGGGTGGGATGGGTGGGGTGCTGAGAATCAAGCTGAGAGATGGGTTTTATCTGAGAAATAGGGGTTTTCCCCTCAGAAATAGGAGTTTTTCCCTCAGAAATAATAGGGATTTTCCTCTGAGAAATAATAGGGATTTTTTTTCCCTCAGAATCATGGATTTCCCCTCAGAAATAATAGGGATTTTTTTTTTTTTTCCTGAGAAATAATAGGGATTTTTCCCTCAGAAATAGGGTTTTTCCCTCAGATATAGGGATTTTCCCCTGGAAAATAGAGATTTTTCTCCTCAGAAATAATAGGGATTTTTCTCAGAAATAGGGATGAATTGAGGTTTTGTGGGATGAGCTTGTGCAGGTTTTATGGGATGAACTTGGGCCCATTTTGTGGGAGGATCCCAGGCAGGTTTTATGGAATAAACTTGAGCAGATTTACAGGATGAGCCTAGGCAGTTTTTGTGGGATGAACCTGTGTAAATTTTGTGGGATAAACCTGAGAAGGTTTTGCGGGATGAACCTGGGCAATTTTTGTGGAATAAACCTGAGCAGATTTACAGGATGAGCCTGGGCTGGTTTTGTGGGATGAACCTGTGCAGGTTTTGTGGGATGGATCAGAAGGTCCCCGGCCACCGCTGGGCTCATCACCCCAAGGTGACAAAGGCCACCTGGGGACACCTGGTCTCACCTGGGATCCCTGGAGGACCTGGCATTCCCGGGTGGCCACGGCCAACCTCTCCCCGCTCGCCCTTCTCTCCTCTCTTCCCTGTGGGTACAAAAAGGGGGGAAGGACTCCATGGCAACCCTGGATGGGTGATCAGGGATGGGGACAAACATGGCAGTGCCACCCCAGGAGGGTTTGCACCTGGCACCATGTCACCACCACCCACCTTTGGGTCCGACATTGCCGATCTGCCCGGCAGCTCCCAGGATTCCGGGGACACCTCGGGGTCCCATGGGGCCGTGGGGTCCCTGATCACCGGGTGGCCCTGGGGGGCCAGGGGCACCGAGAGGTCCCATGGCCCCAACCCCACCCAGGGCAGCTCTCTTGGCGCTCACGGCCACCTCTGTCAGCTGCTCTGTGGGGCAGAGAGGGGCCGGGATGGGATCCACGGGGTGGGATCCATGGGGTGGGAACCATGAGATCCACAGGATGGGATCCATGGGAAGGGATCCATGGGGTGGGATCCATGGGGTGGGAACCATGGGATTCATGGGGTGGGATTCATGGAATCCATGGGATGGGATTCATGGGATGGGATCCACAAGATGGGAACCATGGGGTAGGATCCACAGGATCCATGGGATGGGATCCACTGGGTGGGATCCATGGAGTGGGAACCATGGGATGGGATCCATAGGAAGAGATCCATGGGATGGGATCCATGGGGTGGGATCCATGGGATGGGAACCATGGAATCCATGGCATGGGATCCATAGGATGAGATCCATGGGGAGGGGATTCCACCGGATCCATGGGGTGGTGTCCATGGGATGGGATCCATAGGAAGAGATCCATGGGACAGGACCCATGGGATTCATGGGATCCATGGGATGGGATCCATAGGGTGAGATCCATGGGGAGGGGACTCCACAGGATCCATGGGGTGGGATCCATGGGATGGGATCCATAGGAAGAGATCCATGGGATGGGAACAATGGGATCCATAGGGTGGGATCTATAGGAAGAGATCCACATGGGATCCACGGGATGGGATCCACTGGATCGATGAGGTGGGATCCATGGGAAGAGATCCATGGGATCCGTGGGATCTGGTGGCCCCGCTCCGCCCTCACCTTGCAGCATCTTCAGCACCACGTCCACGATGTGCTGGTCCCCAGCGTCCCGGCCCTGCCAGGAAGGGAATTTCACTCCTTTTGTCCCCTCCCAGAGCCCTTCCCAGCCCAAATCCCAATCTCCATCCCCTCCCTGCATCCCAGGTCACCTTCCCACCCTGCTCTTCCCTGTTCTGTCCCAGGGCAAGCGCTCAGCTTGCTCTGTGCTCATGGCATTAGAGTCCAAAATGAGGATTTTAGGGAAAAATCCCAACCCTTTAAATCCCTGCTGCTGGCTGGTTTATACAGGGACAGTTTTTGGATGCCATACACAGTGGGAAAGGCAGAATTCCTCCCCAGGAAAGCAGGATCCCAGCTCCTGAGTGGAACAGCAGCGTGTTCCCCGAGGAGCTGGGTGGGAAGCAGAGGCAATTCCTGCCGAGCAGGGAGGATGAGGAGGTTTGTAGGATCAGGGTACTCACGGCTGTGCCCCTCGGGCCCGGCATTCCCGCCACTCCGCGCTCCCCCACCAGCCCCCGCGGGCCGGGCGGGCCGGGATAGCCCCGAATTCCCGGCGCTCCTGCATCCCCCGAGGGGCCGGGAAAGCTGAGCTCTCCCTGGATGCCTTGCTGAGGAGGGATGGAGAGAGAGGGGCATGAGGGGCTCAGGCTGTGCTGAGCATGGGGGCTGCACCCCGAGAGCCCAAAATGTCCCAAAAAACATGGGCAGGGCTGGGTCCCAAACCGGGCTGGGGGTGAACCCAGGCTGGATCCCAAAAACTGGGGCTGGATCCCAAAAATTGGGTCTGGGGCTGAACCCAGGGCTGAATCTCAAAAACTGGGGCTGGATCCCAAATGGGGCTGGAGCTGAATCCAGGGCTGAATCACAAAAATTGGGGCTGGGGCTGAATCCAGCATTGGATCCCAAAAACGGGCTGGATCCCAAAATTGGGGCTGGATCCCAAAAATGTGGGCTGGATCCCAAATGGGGCTGGAGCTGAATCCAGGGCTGGATCCCAAAAACGGGCTGGATCCCAAAAACTGGGGCTGGATCCCAAATGGGCTGGAGCTGAATCCAGGGTTGGATCCCAAAAATTTGGGCTAGGGCTGAACCTAGGGCTGGATCTCAAAAATTGGGGCTGGGGCTGAATCCAGCATTGGATCCCAAAAATTGGGGCTGGATCCCAAAAATTGGGGCTGGATCCCAAAAATTGGGGCTGGATTCCATATGGGGCTGGAGCTGAATCAAGGCCTGGATCCCAGAAATTGGGGCTGGGGCTGAATCCAGGGTTGGATCCCAAAAATTGGGGCTGAACTTGAATCAAGGGCTGGATCCCAAAATGGGGCTGAGACTGAATCCAGCACTGGATCCCAAAACAGGAAGCCTGAGCCTGAACCTGGTGCTGAGCCCAGAACCGAGCCTGAATCCAGGGTTTAACCCCAAGGAGGAGCTGAGCCTGAATCCAGGGCTGATCATGATCACTGGGCCCCATTTCCAGGGAAAATATTCCCCCAGCACCTCAGCAGGGAAGATCCAGCTCAGGATCCCACAAATCCACCCAAGTTTTGGGGTGTCCTCGGTCCCAAATCCCCATCACTCACCTGTCCCTTGGGTCCTGGCTCTCCTGACTCCCCCTGGGGACAGAGGACCCAGGAAAGGCAATGAGGACACAGCAGGGATTTAGGGTTGGGATTTAATGCCAGGCAGGATCCCCCAGCTTAGCAAGGGATCCCCCAGCATTCCAAGAATCTTCTGGAAGCACTCACCTTCTCTCCCTCGAGCGCTGCCAGGCCGTGGACACGTGGATCTCCCTAAAGGAAAGGCAAGGAGAGACGGGAACATTCCCAAAGGAAACGTTCCCAAAGGGGGAATTCATGGAGAAAGTGTTCGGAGCCAGTGTTAAAGCCAGCTCTGTCAATCCCAGCTCTGTTAATCCCAGCTCTGTCAATCCCAGCTCTGTCAATCCCAGCTCTGTCAATCCCAACTGTCAATCCCAGCTCTGTCAATCCCAGCTCTGTTAAAGCCAGCTCTGTTAATCCCAGCCCTGTTAATCCCAGCTCTGATAACCCCAGCTCTGTTAATCCCAGCTCTGTCAATCCCAGCTCTGTTAATCCCAGCTCTGTTAATCCCAGCCCTGTTAATCCCAGCTCTGTTATCCCAGCTTTGTTAATCCCAGCTCTGTTAATCCCAGCTCTGTTAATCCCAGCTTTGTCAATCCCAGCTCTGTTAATCCCAGCTTTGTCAATCCCAGCTCTGTCAATCCCAGATCTGTTAATCCCAGCTTTATAAAATCCAGCTCTGTTAAGCCCAGCCCTGTTAATCCCAGCTGTTAATCCCAGCTCTGTCAATCCCAGCTCTGTTTATCCCAGCCCTGTTAATCCCAGCTCTGTTAATCCCAGCTCTGTCAATCCCAGCTCTGTTAATCCCAGCTGTTAATCCCAGCTCTGTTAATCCCAGCTCTGTTAATCCCAGCTCTGTTAATCCCAGCTCTGTTAATCCCAGCTCTGTTAATCCCAGCTGTTAATCCCAGCTCTGTTAATCCCAGCTCTGTTAATCCCAGCTCTGTTAATCCCAGCTCTGTCAATCCCAGCTCTGTTAATCCCAGCTCTGTTAATCCCAGCTCTGTCAATCCCAGCTCTGTTAATCCCAGCTCTGTTAATCCAAGCTTTGTTAATCCCAGCTTTGTCAATCCCAGCTCTGTTAATCCCAGCTCTGTCAATCCCAGCTCTGTTAATCCCAGCTCTGTTAATCCCAGCTCTGTTAATCCAAGCTTTGTTAATCCCAGCTCTGTTAATCCCAGCTCTGTTAATCCCAGCTCTGTTAATCCCAGCTTTGTCAATCCCAGCTCTGTTAATCCCAGCTCTGTTAATCCCAGCTTTGTCAATCCCAGCTCTGTTAATCCCAGCTCTGTTAATCCCAGCTCTGTTAATCCCAGATTTGTCAATCCCAGCTCTGTTAATCCCAGCCCTGTTAATCCGAGCCCTGTAAATCCCAGCTTTGTCAATCCCAGCTCTGTTAATCCCAGCTCTGTTAATCCCAGCTCTGTTAAGCCCAGCCCTGTTAATCCCAGCTCTGTTAATCCCAGCTCTGTTAATCCCAGCTCTGTTAATCCCAGCTTTGTCAATCCCAGCTCTGTCAATCCCAGCTCTGTTAATCCCAGCTCTGTTAAGCCCAGCTCTGTTAATCCCAGCTGTTAATCCCAGCTCTGTTAATCCCAGCTCTGTTAATCCCAGCTCTGTCAATCCCAGCTCTGTTAATCCCAGCTCTCTTAATCCCAGCTCTGTTAATCCAAGCTTTGTTAATCCCAGCTTTGTCAATCCCAGCTCTGTTAATCCCAGCTTTGTCAATCCCAGCTCTGTTAATCCCAGCTCTGTTAAGCCCAGCTCTGTTAATCCCAGCTGTTAATCCCAGCTCTGTTAATCCCAGCTCTGTTAATCCCAGCTCTGTTAATCCCAGCTCTGTCAATCCCAGCTCTGTTAATCCCAGCTGTTAATCCCAGCTCTGTTAATCCCAGCTCTGTTAATCCCGGCTCTGTTAATCCCAGCTCTGTTAATCCCAGCTCTGTTAATCCCAGCTCTGTCAATCCCAGCTCTGTTAATCCCAGCTCTCTTAATCCCAGCTCTGTCAATCCCAGCTCTGTTAATCCCAGCTCTCTTAATCCCAGCTCTGTTAATCCAAGCTTTGTTAATCCCAGCTTTGTCAATCCCAGCTCTGTTAATCCCAGCTTTGTCAATCCCAGCTCTGTTAATCCCAGCTTTGTCAATCCCAGCTCTGTTAATCCCAGCCCTGTAAATCCGAGCCCTGTAAATCCCAGCTTTGTCAATCCCAGCTCTGTTAATCCCAGCTCTGTTAATCCCAGCTCTGTCAATCCCAGCTCTGTTAATCCCAGCTCTGTTAATCCCAGCTCTGTTAAGCCCAGCTCTGTTAATCCCAGCTCTGTCAATCCCAGCTCTGTTAATCCCAGCTCTGTTAATCCCAGCTCTGTCAATCCCAGCTCTGTTAATCCCAGCTCTGTTAATCCAAGCTTTGTTAATCCCAGCTCTGTTAATCCCAGCTCTGTTAATCCCAGCTCTTTTAATCCCAGCTTTGTCAATCCCAGCTCTGTCAATCCCAGCTCTGTTAATCCCAGCTCTGTTAATCCCAGCTCTGTTAATCCCAGCTTTGTCAATCCCAGCTCTGTTAATCCCAGCTCTGTTAAGCCCAGCTCTGTCAATCCCAGCTCTGTTAATCCCAGCTCTGTTAATCCCAGCTTTGTCAATCCCAGCTCTGTTAATCCCAGCTCTGTTAAGCCCAGCCCTGTTAATCCCAGCTCTGTTAATCCCAGCTCTGTTAATCCCAGCTCTGTCAATCCCAGCTCTGTTAATCCCAGCCCTGTAAATCCGAGCCCTGTAAATCCCAGCTTTGTCAATCCCAGCTCTGTTAATCCCAGCTCTGTTAATCCCAGCTCTGTCAATCCCAGCTCTGTTAATCCCAGCTCTGTTAATCCCAGCCCTGTTAATCCCAGCTCTGTTAATCCCAGCTCTGTTAATCCCAGCTCTGTTAATCCCAGCTCTGTTAATCCCAGCTTTGTCAATCCCAGCTCTGTCAATCCCAGCTCTGTTAATCCCAGCTCTCTTAATCCCAGCTCTGTTAATCCAAGCTTTGTTAATCCCAGCTTTGTCAATCCCAGCTCTGTTAATCCCAGCCCTGTTAATCCGAGCCCTGTAAATCCCAGCTTTGTCAATCCCAGCTCTGTTAATCCCAGCTCTGTTAATCCCAGCTGTTAATCCCAGCTCTGTTAATCCCAGCTCTGTTAATCCCAGCTCTGTTAATCCCAGCCCTGTTAATCCCAGCTCTGTTAATCCAAGCTTTGTTAATCCCAGCTTTGTCAATCCCAGCTCTGTTAATCCCAGCTCTGTTAATCCCAGCTCTGTCAATCCCAGCTCTGTCAATCCCAGCTTTGTCAATCCCAGCTCTGTTAATCCCAGCTCTGTCAATCCCAGCTCTGTCAATCCCAGCTCTGTTAATCCCAGCTCTGTTAATCCCAGCTCTGTTAATCCCAGCTCTGTCAATCCCAGCTCTGTTAATCCCAGCTGTTAATCCCAGCTCTGTTAATCCAAGCTTTGTTAATCCCAGCTTTGTCAATCCCAGCTCTGTTAATCCCAGCTCTGTCAATCCCAGCTCTGTTAATCCCAGCTCTGTTAATCCCAGCTCTGTTAATCCAAGCTTTGTTAATCCCAGCTTTGTCAATCCCAGCTCTGTTAATCCCAGCTCTGTTAATCCCAGCTCTGTCAATCCCAGCTCTGTTAATCCCAGCTTTGTCAATCCCAGCTCTGTTAATCTCAGCTTTGTCAATCCCAGCTCTGTTAATCCCAGCTCTGTTAATCCCAGCTCTGTCAATCCCAGCTCTGTTAATCCCAGCTCTGTTAATCCCAGCTCTGTCAATCCCAGCTCTGTTAATCCCAGCCCTGTTAATCCCAGCTCTGTTAATCCCAGCTGTTAATCCCAGCTCTGTTAATCCCAGCTCTGTTAATCCCAGTTCTGTTAATCCCAGCTCTGTTAATCCCAGCTTTGTCAATCCCAGCTCTGTCAATCCCAGCTCTGTTAATCCCAGCTCTGTCAATCCCAGATCTGTTAATCCCAGCTTTATAAAATCCAGCTCTGTTAAGCCCAGCCCTGTTAATCCAAGCTTTGTTAATCCCAGCTCTGTTAATCCCAGCTTTGTCAATCCCAGCTCTGTTAATCCCAGCTCTGTTAATCCCAGCTTTATAAATTCCAGCTCTGTTAAGCCCAGCTCTGTTAATCCAAGCTTTGTTAATCCCAGCTCTGTTAATCCCAGCTCTGTCAATCCCAGCCCTGTTAATCCCAGCCCTGTTAATCCCAGCTCTGTTAATCCCAGTTCTGTTAATCCCAGCTCTGTTAATCCCAGCTCTGTTAATCCAAGTTATATAAATTCCAGCTCTGTTAAGCCCAGCTCTGTTAATCCCAGCTCTGTCAATCCCAGCTCTGTTAATCCCAGCTCTGTTAATCCTAGCTCTGTTAATCCCAGCTTTGTTAATCCCAGCTCTGTTAATCCCAGCTCTGTCAATCCCAGCTCTGTCAATCCCAGCTCTGTTAATCCCAGCTTTATAAATTCCAGCTCTGTTAAGCCCAGCTCTGTTAATCCCAGCTCTGTCAATCCCAGCTCTGTTAATCCCAGCTCTGTTAATCCTAGCTCTGTTAATCCCAGCTTTGTTAATCCCAGCTCTGTCAATCCCAGCTCTGTCAATCCCAGCTCTGTTAATCCCAGCTGTCAATCCCAGCCCTGTTAATCCCAGCTCTGTTAATCCCAGATCTGTTAATCCCAGCTTTATAAATTCCAGCTCTGTTAAGCCCAGCTCTGTTAATCCCAGCTCTGTCAATCCCAGCTCCCTTAATCCCAGCTCTGTTAATCCCAGCTCTGTTAATCCCAGCTCTGTCAATCCCAGCTCTGTTAATCCCAGCTCTGTTAATCCCAGCTCTGTTAAACCCAGCTCTGTTAATCCCAGCTCTGTTAAGCCCAGCTCTGTCAATCCGAGCTCTGTTAATCCCAGCTCTGTTAATCCCAGCTCTGTTAATCCCAGCTTTATAAATTCCAGCTCTGTTAAGCCCAGCTCTGTTAATCCCAGCTGTTAATCCCAGCTCTGTTAATCCCAGCTCTGTTAATCCCAGCTCTGTTAATCCCAGCTTTGTCAATCCCAGCGCCGTTAATCCCAGCTCTGTCAATCCCAGCTCTGTCAATCCCAGCTCTGTTAATCCCAGCTCTGTTAATCCCAGCTCTGTTAATCCCGGCTCTGTCAATCCCAGCTCTGTT